TAGCGTAAGACTCAACTGCATTTCCTAACTGGACTGCTGTAAAGAATGACAACAATTCAGATTACAAAGCTTTGTTAAACCTTGATAGCATTTCTACTCTTATCAGTGGCCCACTGCAAATATATGTATATATGTATGTATACACACACACACACACCACCCTGAGACCTGCTAAAAGAATATATAGCCTGGGGTGGTTGTGTAGTTTTGGCCATGAGGAATGACTTTATTGCAGGTTTTTACTTTGTGGGTTACCAGGCAATTGGGAGTACATAGGAAAGAGAGTGTGCTAGTGAACACAAGGAAAAAAAGAATGTCAAGTGAGAGAAAAGTAGAGGATACGGACAAGGTTTGGTGGAGAAAGACGTAATGGAATCTGCTGGTTGGTGAATGAAGGTGGAGGGATGGAGAGAAGGTGAACATTTGAAATGGAAGGAACTGCCTGCATTGGTACCAGTTTTGCTTTGGGACATAATGTGAGGCTGCCCTGTGGATTCTTCTCCCCTCAGAATTTATCAGAGGTGAGCAGAGTGGCACTGCTGACAGGAGGAGTGGCTGGAGGGCAAGGAACACAAACTGTGACCACCATTATCTACAAAGTGGCAGCAAAAGGACATCTGGAATGGGAGTGGTAAGAGAGGAATCCCAGATCTCCTAGAATAGTCCTGGCCCAATATTGGGCATTGAGAGAGCCCTTGTCAGTTCCAGGAATATGAGATTCACTGATGGGATTAAAGATTTGGTGCCTGCAGGTGCCAGAGTTGAGAAGTGCTGCCAGTGTGGGTAATTGCAGCCACAATTAAACTCAGTCTGGGAAGCTTCTGAAGATTTATTATAAAACCTATCAGATTACCTGGATTGGATTATAAAAGTACATTCTCTGGGTAAGAATTAGGCAGCACTGAAGTCAGCTTCCATCCCCTTCCAGGCAAGAGAACAGGAGTGAAATGGAGGGATTCTATGAGGGTTTTTTTTTTTTTTTTTAAGTTCTCCACAAAGCTGAAGGCTTTAGGATGTAAGTGATGGGAATTAGAAGACTGGTGATAGAATGGAGTCACTGGGGGCCTCTGGAGATGAAGCAGTAGGGGCTGAAATTGGGTTCATAATAGGAAAAAGGAAGTATGGTGGGGAGTACTGGGTGTATTGTTGGAGAAGGGGGACACATACATTAGTTCAGGCCCCTTCTAAGCCAGTGGTTCCTCTCCTAGAGTCAGATTGGCAAGTTGAAGGGTCTTCAGGGTGTTGTTAGTAAATGAAATGCCAGGTCTCTTTACAACAAAACTACATTTGTACATGACATGGTGGTGGACAAGTGACTGGATCTGGCATACATGGGGGTCAGGGGAAGGGGGAAGAGTAAAAATCTGCAGGATGGTGGGCACATTGTCATAACTGAAGCCCTGCCCTTTTTGTACATGTGTGCTGTGATCATTCCTGTGACTCTGAGACAGGGAGCACTGCCTCAGACATGACCAGATGCAAGCGCCTATGCATGAAATTGGGTCACACTGACAAAGTATGGCTGTTGCTGGTTTCCTAACTGCCTGGCAGCTGGCCTCCACAAGCTGCCGGATCTCATCTTAGTACTGGTGCTGGAGTTCCTGAGACTGTTACTTGAGCAACTTCATTCTCCATGCCCTGGGAAAGGAGTCTGGTGTAGCTTGTAAGTTCATGGGCTTGTCACAAGAAACTGCATACCCAACACACATGGGAAGACATTCTTGGTCATCACACTGGAACAGATGACATTAACACCTGTCCTTTGCCCTGATCAAAACACTTCGTCAAACTACAGATCATGGATAACTTAGACTCCTGCAAGAAGAGTGGACCCATTACAACATTGTAGAGAAAAATAAGAGAAGGGAGTGCTATATATGCACACCTTGAGCTGCTGGAGGAAAGTGGGATACAAATCAAACAAGTACATAAATAAGCCAGCTAGCTAGCTTCTGACACCCAGTTATATATTGCTACTCCAGACTGAGCTAGAGATGCTATGGAAGTTTTGAATTAGTGCCTTTGGCCCAAGCTACTTATGAGAACCATCATTATTGGTGAGCATTACTGTTATGTTAATGAATTGTTTTTAATGAATTTTTTATGTATTTTTCCTGTTGTTCACTGCTGAGTCTGTCTGGATTGGGGCAGGGTAGAAATTTTGTTAAAATAGAAAAAAATAGCAAGTGACTTGGAGTAAATTTTAAAAATAATTTAGACATTAACAATGTTTCAGAGATCTCCAGCATTTGCTCCCCCATCCCAAGTCTGATATTCTAGTATTGGAGTATGAGACAGGAGTGCTCACATTCTGAGAAGGATGTTTTTTGCCTGTGCCATAAATATGACCATATTTGATTAAGGCCACCACTCCAGTCTCCTTTAACTTGGCAACGTATAAAGGAGACCAACCAAGCTACACAAAAGCTCCTCTCTGTGATGGAGAGCACCTTCAGACCTTCACCACATATGGGATTGGAAAGCATTCCCTTATCATTCCACCTCTGTGTTATGTGAATGAGACATCTTTTACTAAGGTAAAAAGATGACATTTTTCATAAAGACATGTTGCCATAAAGGGGAAAAATCCACATTTCTAGTGGAGTGCAATAATTTGTTTACATTATTTTCTTGCTTTAAAAAAATTCTGAGATGAGGGGTTCCAATTATAGAAATGAGAGAGAAACAAAGTTAGGAAATTAACTGTAGTCTATTATTATTACATTGCGGGAAAGATACTGCGATCCAAACTCTACCACTTTTGTACATATGTTGACATCACATGTACATACAAAAGGAGTGAAGCTTGGATTGTGACAGTGCGCCTGCCCTTCTGGAGATTGTAATTCTCCCCACAGACATGCCTGATGTCTTGACTGAAAAATGCTACCTCAGATGTTTTGTGGGAATCAGGTGAGGAGAAGGAGCTATAGGAATTTAGGGCACATGAATGGGGTAACCAAATATGGAAGCATGCTCTCTATGTAGCTAGGATATGGCTTTTAATATCCTGGCCCAGGATCAACCCTATGTTAGGCCAGTAAAAATCCACATATAGAAAATACTGAACTCGATGAATGATTACTTGGTAAAAAGACTTCAGGTCGTAATTTTTCATTAAAGTTTTACTTTCTTGGTAGGTCATCATTCAATATGCATTTCAAAGTAAGTTATCCTAATAAAATTAATTTATTAATGTATTATTTAACATGTATGCCGCCCAACTCTCAACAACTCTTCAAAACCAATTAATAATAGAAGAGCGAACTCCAGGCGATGAATTCAATCACTGAAATAAATGTTCATACAAGACAAGAAGCTGATGCACTATAGTTTAAGTGACTTTCAGAACAGTTTTTAAAAATAGCGGGGAAAACATGTCACATTTATATTTTCCCACTTTTACACCATAGGTTGTCAGCAATGGGCTGATTATCTTGCCAGAGAACTGACTTAGGAGTTGCAGAGAACTTTAGAAATCAAAAACAAATTTTTTAAAAAAATAATTTAAATTTTTTTTCAAGAAAATAGTTCAAAAGCCACATAAAATGAGGCCAACCATTTACTTTATAAGCAAACTTTATAACAACAAATCTGAGGCTTCTCTTATAATTAGTCATTGCACATCATAACAAGAACAGATTCATGCGTACACCATGGCTATTTGTTTCCAATGGGCAATCCTTTCCCAGATAAAAAAATCACAGAGAAACCTCATTATAAAGTGAGCTGTAGGCAAATGCAGCTGGTTCCGCTATTATAATGGCAAGGAAAAAGTGATTAAATTATACCAGTTCTCTGAATATTAAATATGTAGTAGATTCCATGTCATAGTTTCTGAAAAGTATCAGATCCAAGGAAACTAAATTCCTTTTGCTGTGTCAGGATCTACAATATATATGAAAATATATAAAATGCATACATTTATAATACACATAAATCTTTAGGAAAGAACAGAAAATGATATATAGTCAGGCAGATTATCTTTCCCATGTTTCAAAAGAGCAACACATAACAAGGGCCATAGAAAAGTATGGATATTACCCTTTTATTTTATAGTCAATGTTGCTTCATAGGATAAAATCAATAATTAATATTGATTAATTATCTTTAATCAATAAATGTAAAAATCCTTTCTTTGGCATTGGACAGTACTCTTCTGTTTACACTAGAAGGCCATGCAGAGTAGTTCCTTAAGAAATCATTTTTCGCTATAATATAGCAGTGCAACTTGTAAAAATTACAAGCAGCTTCTCAAGTTAAAAGTGATCCATAGTTTATGCACTGCAAGTTGGGCATAATTGTTGTACAAGATGTCAAAGAAGAGACAACCCTTATGCTTTCAAAGCATATGCTCTCTGTATTCTTTAAGAGATAAGTCTTTTCCAAGTAAATCAAAACTGTGCAAGGAATGGTTTTAAAAAGGCTCTGTTTCATAAACAATTTAAGCATTCCTTACTGTATCCACAAAAATTAAGGTTTCACTCCTAAATAACTTACAGACCAAGAACATAACATGATTGCACACTCTTTCAGTAATAAGCAGCATATCTTAAAAGAGAATAACAATAATAAATATTAAAATGTAAAATATGATTTGTTTGGAGATGATTTACACCAGTGCATTTGGAATAATTAATAACCTAGTGGCAACCTGAACGTTTTTTTCAAAAGAAAAACAAAACAAAACTAAGTTGTAATTATCAGTGCTGTAAATAAACTGGAATGTTCAAATGCAGTGCTAAAATGTCATAACAACCTCCTATCACACCTATGTAGTACTGTAATTGTAAAATCTAAATGTTGAATATCACAGATGCAGTTTTTCAGTATTGGTGTGTGTATGTATATATATGTATATATATTCATACATACTCATACCACACATCATAAAGGTTTCCTGTGTTAAGATAATTATTTAAAAAAACATACAAAATTAAAGTCAGTGGTTTTCTTTTGATTTTTTTTCTTCAAAACACATTTTAGGATTTTTTAAAAAAAATTACACTGAAATTAGTTTGAAATGCAAATAGTAATTCAATTATACATTAAAAAAAAGTCAGCTGTAGTAATGTAAGTACTGAGGCTTAATTTCATTAGCAATTTTTCTTTTCTTTTGTTCCCAGTGCAAAACCAGCTACAGTGAGTGTAAACTGGGTTATTTTAAAGAACATATGGTTTTAGTGAAACATTTTGTCCTATAATGCAAAACTCATTGCATATGCACATATGATTAATATTAAGTAATGTATTTCAGTGCTTATCCATGAGTAATTTCTTACAGCAAGCTCAGTCAGAAACACAATTCACATTACATCAATTTTTGAGTGTTAAATTGCCATAAATTTCAGGTATCCATGTGCAAAACTTTTTGTTTTGTTACAGTATTCCAAAGAAATTTGTCAGAATTTTTCAATAACTCCTTCCATGTTGTTTCTGCACACACGCACGTGCATACACACACACACACACACACACATACACATGCACCTCATCTTCCTATGTTATGGTCTAATAACACTTTTCTGATCCAACCAGGTACCAAGTGCATGGCTGTCTACATTGTATAGACAATCTTGATGCAGTGAAGAATTAAGGATGATTTATGTTCATGTGTTGTTCCTAGCAAACATACGGTCCCCTCTCAGGGTGAGGTGCTGGAGCTGATACTGAAGCACTTCTGTATCAGCTGGTTCCTTGATGTTCATTCTGTCTAAATTGAGGTAGTCTAGGGATTTTGAGTGAGCTCTTTTACCTTTGAAAAGGCAGAGAGGCAAAGGACCATGAAATGCCTTGTATGGTTCATAAGGTAGTGGCTTGCTGCATTTATCCCCTGAGCTGGGCATCCGTCGCCTTCTACGGCCATTGATCGCTGGGATCTCATAAGGCTGGTAATACCTGCTTCTAGCTTTGCACACTCGGGAAGAACGGGAAAGTCCTGAATCAAGCTGTTTGGGGCGCAAAGTAGGCCCTACCGCTTCAACTTTATTCTCTTCTTCTACAGTGCACTTTTGGGCTAATTTCAGGAGCTCCTCCCCAGTTGTGAAGCCAACCAAGTAGTTAGAATCCATGTGGAGGATCTGGTAACCTGAAACAGTCTGGCGCATTGGTGAGCATGGGGTGCTGGAGCAGCGAGGTTTCTCAGTGTCTGTTTTGCCTGTAGCACTCACTTCAGCGATAGGCAACGGGAGAGTGGCTAGCATAGATCTGGCCTCTCCATTAATGTCAACTTCCATTTTAAGTAAGAATCCAATAGCCTAAAAATACAAAAACAGTTTTATTAGCATGATACAGAGAAATACAGATGGAACTGGTGTCAGCTGAGAAATGGTAGTCATTTCTGTCTTTAGGTCTTGCTTTGCAGAGACTTCCAAAATAAAGGAAGACTGAGGACTGGAGGTGGATTCGCATTCCACTTTTGGCATAAAACTGTTTTGTGTCTTTGCATATCTATCATTCCTTTCTTCCTTCCTACCAAGTTCAGCTCCCAATCTTTATCCACAAACTGAAAATAATATCCTCTTACTCTAGTACTAACTGTGGAGAGTAACAACAAATGATCCTTCTGAGTATATTTCCATCACCAGATCTTATCCTAGTAGTAGAGCCACAAATTAGAATCATACAGCTGAAAGAAGTAGAAACAAGGATTATCTGCAAGATAAAATTTAAGATGTCTCTTTTTATTTTGACCTGCTGCAATCAGTTAGAGGCCAAGTCAGTGTTCAGTTCTCTTGATTACATGCAGGCTAAATCCTTAAAAGAGGAGGAACAGCCACATTTTCAGAAGATGACTTGAACTCCTTTCTCTACAGAATTCAATGAAAATAGTTTTCCTTGAAGCAACTCTGCCCTTGCTTATCTCTTTTCATGCTACACTGAAATGAATCTGATATTCCAAGTGCGCAGCCAAGCAACATTTCTCATTACTTTCAGTGGGAGCTCTTGTTTGTGAAAAAAATAAAAACCTCAATTTCTACTTTCTACCAGACCACTGCACATGACCCTTGGCTCTTTCAGTATTTAGCTCAGATTGAAAACAAAGTGATTATGTCCTCATATAAACCCCTTAATAAAAACTGCAGTGATCCAGAGATTAGGTTGATGCCCTTTTGCCAGTAGGTTAAGCCATTCTTATTTAGAAAGGGATGTTCTTAGTTGCTGTTATCTGCCACCTTTTATAATATAACTCTTATTTGCAATTATTTGTTTTTATGGTACGATGTTGTCATGTACTGACTGTAGTAGATGTTGTGGATTTTAGATGCTCTCAGTGATGCTTGAGCTAGAGAAGGGAGGACTGTATTTTCAAAACAAACAAACAAACAATTGTGTTCACTCATGCAACTCTTTGCCCACAAGCAAATTAGCCATCTACTTTCTGATATGCCAAAAGGGTAAAATGAATGGATAGAGAAGACTCTTGTCCATACAAAACATTCAGCCATACACAGAGATCAGCACAAATATGCTACCATTACCTAACCCCGATCACACTTTTTGTCAGGACTGGGAGCTTTCCAGTGTCTGTCAAAACTTTGATTTCAAACTCCATTTCTGATCATTAGAAATGGTAGCAATTCTGATTGCAGACAATGTGAGTAACCTTGAAAAGTCTTTGACTATGATTAAAGAACCATGCATCTTCTCACTATCTATCTTACATCTTATAATGATACATGTACTACATGTACTGACAGTTACCTGCACTAAATATACTACAGTGACCACAAAATAAAAAAGTAAAGACATGAGTGTATCCATGCCATTTTATTGGCACTGATATGGAAATGGTTCACTCTCATTTCAACTTCCCAGTTCATACTACAATTCTAAGGATTCCCTGGTGGTCTCCCATCCATGTATTAATCAGGCCCAATGCTGCCAAGCCTCCAAACCCAGAGAAAGCTAGTCAAGTGTTGCCACCTACTGGGATTTGCCAACCTCAAACCAAACAAAAAAGACCAGCATTTTAGCAGCTTCCCTCCCTCCCTCCCTCCCTCC